TTCTTCCTCAGAAGTCGCTGGCCAGACCCCGATAAGGGAGTTGAGTCATGCTTGCCCTAACTCCCAGCCTGGCCCTGAGAGGGTGAGGGGAGGCATGGGTAATGGTGGAGAAGAACACGGCTCCTGGAAGCGTATGTGCTGCCGAAGCAAGCACAAGTCTCCTGGAAGTAGAAGCTGTCTGGTTCCTGGCCCGGCCTCAGAACTTTGCTATGTTTTATGAAACAGCAACAACACACCCCCTCCAGGCCCCCCTCCCAGGGAACTCCTCCTCCCCCCACACATTCCTGAGATGCATTCCAGAGAAGTTGGGCAATTGGAAGGGGAGAATGGAGGACAGGAGGTCAAATCCCAGCAAGGAATGGAATGTTAGTATATTGGGACTAAGGAATTTGGGGGCATATGGAGAGTATAGTCAGAGTAGGTACCCACAAAGAGAACTGCACAAAGGTGGGGAGTTACACAGAGGGTCACAGGCAGAGAGAGAAAACTGAACAGAGTCAGGCCGTGAGAGGGCTGGGGGAGCAGCACTCAGTCTGTTACCAAATTAGGCCTCTGAGTCCGAAACCGCGGGGATGGGGGGAGGGTTTGTGGGTGAGACTGACATATCCGGCCTCAGGCTGCTAAAGGCTCATTTAAGGCTGGACTGGGCAGCTGAAGGGCTGGACCTGACTTCCTCCAACACAGCCCCTCCACGTTTACGTGTGCACACCCGTTCTCCCCTCCTGTACCCCAGCCTTCTCAGATCACCTATGCTGTCTCTGCATGTACCTGAGCTCAGGGACAGCAAACATTTAGACACCGACCGAGTGCCCAACGGTGACCCAAAACCCACTTATTAATCACAAAGAGCCAACAGTGCAATTAAACCCGAATACTGAGGTTTCAGTTTAAAAGACCAGCTCTACATTAACCTTTTGTCTAAAAAAAAACCCACAATAACATGCATGCCATAGATTCACCACTACAGCCTTATCTCAATTACAAAGCCCCTACACAGATCGATCTTGCAAAACTCACCCCTTCCCAGCTCCCCCACAAACACACCCCTGTCACAAGCACATCAAGGCCCAATGCCCCAGTTCTCAACATCTTTCCTTCTCTTGGGTACAGTTCTCCCTCCATTTACCCAGCCAGCATTCCCTGAAGGCCTATTGTGGGGAATGGCCTGGGCCACACTTTCAGTAGCTGAGAACCACAATGAGTAAGACCTAGCCTTTGCCTTCAATGGGCTCCCAGTCCTTCAGGTGGGTGGGTAAATTAAACACACAGTTACAATAGAGAACAGGATGCAATAAAAGCCAAAGAGCACGAAAAAAACTCAGATCCCTTTAGATTAGGGAAGCGGGACTATAAAAGGTGTCATTTTTTAAAAGGTGAAAGATTTATTTGATCTGAAGAGAAACCAGAGTGAAAGGTGTCATTTAAATTCAGAATTAAAAAAAAAAAAAAAGTAATAGCAGTGTGTCTTTTATTGACTATATGTCAATTGCATTTTATACATAATTTCTGTTAATCCTTACAACAACTCTGCAAGGTAGGTGCCATTTATTTTCTTTCTGTTTTTGGTTCCAGGAATCAAACTCACAATCTTGAGCTTGCCAGGCAGACATTGTGCCACCGAGCTATATTATTTCCTTTCTAACAGATTTGGAAACTGAAGGGTAAGGAAGTTAAATACTTGTTTAATGTACTTGTCCAAATAATAAGTTGTGAAGCCAGGATCCGAACCTGGGTCTCTCTGACTCCAAAGCCCAAGTGCTCTCTATCATGTCAGCTGGAGATGAGTCAAAGGCAGCATTCCAGGCAGAGAGAACAGCATAAGCAAAAGTGGAGAAGCAAGAAATCATGGAGGAACACTCAGGAAAGTGGGCAGACAAGCTGGCTGATGTACAGGGTACCTGTAAAGCACGAATTATGGGGAAGTCAGGTTTAAGATGGAAAGCAGGGTGGACCTAGAGTGGGGCATGAGGAATTTTACCTAAGGGAAGGTGACAGGAGGCAAAGGAGAGAAGGAACAGTGGATTTTAGGAACATAACTGTGGAGACTGGTCAAAAGTACACTGTATTAGTCCGGGTAACAAAGCCAGAGTTAGACTAGAGAGAAAGCAGCCCCTCAGAAGAAATTTTAAGAGGTAGCTCTGACAAAGTCTGATGACAGCCTGTTCTGTCAATAGCCAGGGACCAGAGCCCAAAGCCAGGCTGGGGTCCCATACCTTCTGATCTTCAGTGGCCACTGGTCTATAGGGCAGAGTGCCGGTAAGGAACCGGGAAAGGAGGAAGGGTGAGACTGGGATGGAAACCTGGGGATGGTGATGAGAAAAGAGGATGTGATGCTATTAACAGTCGAGCAGGGGCCGAGGGGGTGGGGTTAGTGACCACCTCAGGCTGGGAGTGGGGGAAGCAGTATAAAACAAGCCTGGGGAAAATCCACACATGAGCAGCCACTGGATCAGGAAGGGGGAAAGGGAGGAATAATCACATCAATAGTGGCTAAGTCAGGGAATGAAGGAATGAGGAGGGAGGGCAGATCAGACTACAGAGGTTTGATTTAAAAAAATGGGGATATGGTAAGTGGCTAAATTAGGCTAGGGTGGGGAGGACTGAAGGGACACTGGCAGTGTCTAAGTAAAGTTGGGGAAGGAACAGCATGAAGTAGTCAGGGGCTGAATCAGAGGCTGGGTAGAGGATAGTGCTGTGGTCAGTGGTAAGGTCAGCGGGAGTGAAATGGGGGTGTGGTCAGTGGCCTGGTTGGGTGTGGGATCAGCAAGACCCAGTTTCCTCTTTGGGTCCTGTTTCCTCTTTTCTCTTAGGGAGTTGGGGGAGGGGATCTACAACTGGACCAAGAAATTGAAGGCTCAGAACCAGGGGATCCACGTAGTGGGGGTGGGGGTCAACTATTCAGCACATGACCACATGCTATGCAGTGTACAAGGGTGTGAAAATGGTGGGAGAGAGTGCTTTAAGATGATGGAAACCTCAGATCTGGGCAGGGGTAAGTTAAAGTAGGATGTGTGACAAGGCCTGGGAAGGGAGACAGCAAGGAGGATGCAATGGATTGGTGAGGTGAACAACGGGAGCATTAAAGAGCGAGGAAGTGTGCTGTAAGGAGACATGAAGGAGAGGTGTGCAATGAGGAGATAAGGATAGGCATTGAGGAGGAAGGTTAATACCTCGGCAGCGAGGGAAGAGGGAAGCAGTGGGGTAGACTATCAGGGGATTCAGTTACCCCCTTCTCTCCTGACAACAGTGTCCCTTTGTCATCCCCCTGCTCGTCCCCAGGGAGTCCTCCACTTATGCCTAGGCCTTGTACACTTTCTAGGCCCCTGTGCACTTTTCAGTTCTCATCTTGTAAACATAGTCCAGGAATCCCTGCCCACTCAATGTGGCAGCTATGGTAAAACCCTTGACCTTGTTGTGGAATAAAGAAGGTGGAATCCCAGACACCTACAATCCTAGCTGGAATCCAGAACACTGACCCGAAATCAGTCTGTCATTTGTACCTGAAAGAAGCCACTGTTACTGCAGAAGAATAAAACACCCTTCCACGAAACAAAGGGATTCCCTTCCTGCTAATCCCTTAAATTTTACCTGCACAAAGTTAACTTCCTCCATTTTTTTTTTTTTTTTTTTTAAATGTATGTGGTGCTGGGGATTGAACCCAGGGCCTTGTGCATGCAAGGCAAGAGTTCTACTACTGAGCCACATCCCCAGCCCCATCAAAGTTAACTTCCTACCTCGGCCTCAACCACAATCCATAAAGTTGTCTCTAACTGCTTACATTAACCCCGACTCTAATTTGTTTCCTGATCCCTAGCACTGGTTTTGACATCTATCCCTTTCCAAGCAGACCTGCAGATCTAATTTTCACCTTTAACAACACACTCCCTTACTTTAAACTAAATATTGAGCCGTAAGCCGAAAGGCCATTTTCAACTTGATTCCTAAAACATTTTTCCAGTTTTTGGTTAATACTGACAGTGACAACAGTCTTTAATTCCTGAAATGGACTTCTAATTCGTGCTGTTGACCCTTAACCTGATCCTGAATTCTCACTTTCGCTGGCCATTCCTGAAAACAAAATAGTGACCTTAACCTAAACCTCACGTAACAAAGCGGACCTAACTCACACGAATAGCTAATTTCCGCCCAGCGGGTTCTAAACTTCTAAAGTGACCTCTGCCTTCAATTCCAGACTCACCCAAAGCTTTCCTACCCACTTACCCACTGTCAGCTAACACCAAAGCTCATCCCCGCCCGGCGCCACACTGCCGCCCCCACTTCTCCTCCGCCCCAGAATCTATCCCAGGCGGACTGCTCCCCGGAAGGGGCTGCTTCCCGCGAGACGGCCTACTTAACGCAGAGGCCAAGCCGAGACAGACTGGACGCTGACCTCTCTAACAGGACTCGAAGCGGGACAAGCAGAAGAACCGGGGCTCCGCCCGCCTCCCGCCTCCCCGCGCCAGGCCCCGCGCCCCACCCCGAAGCCCCAGCCCGACCCGTCCGGCCTACCTGCGTCGCCGGGCTCTGTGCCCCGCCCGCCGGCCCTCTAACCAGCTCCTTCCCCGGGTAGCTGCGGGGCTCCGGCCTCGCCCTGTCTCCGACCCTCGGCCACTTCCGCCCCGGGAGCGTCCGCCACCCGCAAGGCGCGTCCCGGCCGCGCTCTATGGTCGCGGGGCTGCAGGAAGCTGCTCTGGCCCCGGCTCTCGATGTTCGGGAGCCCGCCGGAGATACGCAGCTCCTCCCCGGCAGGAAGCAAGGGCGCGGCGTAATCCGGAGAAACGACTGAACTACGCCCGAGTTCCCTTTTGAACTATGTTTCTTCCTTTTTCTAGCTAGGGGCGAAGGCGGAGCCGGATCCCCAAAATCCCCGCCCTCAGGTTGTGAGGAGGCGGCAGGGACATCCCCACGATTTGCATAGCCCCCGGGACGTGGCGCGGCACCAGGCCGCTTCCGAGGCCGGGGAACTCCAAGTCCCAGAGTGCCGTGGGACTGCACACGTCACTTCCGTTGTGTTGGAGGCGCTGACCATTGAGGCTGAGAGAGCTCTGGTTTGAGAGCGACGACCGCTACCCTTAGGCCATCAGTGCGAGGGAGGGCCGTCCTGAAAGGTACTGGGACCGACTATTGGACCGGGGCTTGGGTGTGGGGTGTGGAGCTTGAGCCGCGTGGAAAAGTGAACTCGTGTGTTTCTGCCCGTCCTTTCCATAGATGTCGCAAATGGAGCTGGCGTTGGACCCTGGTGACCAGGACCTGTTGGGTTTTCTGCTAGAGGAAAGCGGGCATTCGGGGGCTGCGCCCGATGAGGCTCAGGAGGCTCTGCTGGACTGGGAGCTGCCGCCCTCCCAGGTGGGTGGGGTCTGAGTGGCTGGAGGAGTCCCTGGGTCCGGGAGGTCGGGGAGAGTCGAGGCCTTTTAATTTGTTGGAACTTTGCGCAGGAACTGAGCGACTGGGAGGTGGAGGATTTGCTGAGCTCCCTGCTGAGTCCCCCACCATCACTGGCTGACTCCGCCAGCATCTGTCCTGTCCACCACGATCACACCTACTCTCTCCCAGGGGAACGCGTCTCTGTAGACTTAGGTGAGCATGAAATAGTGAAGTATGGGGAGGAGAGGGTCTATGGGCCCGGCTATTCCTGCCTTCCCTTTTGCAGACAGTGCGAGCTGTGGAGAGGAGAGGACCCACAAGACTCCACCTCATTTGGAGGAGCCAGCAGAGCAGGTACTTGACTTGATTTTCAGGAGGATTATTTCAGCATTGCCCCGGTGTGGCTGGAATCCCCCATTCTTCTCCTACATCCCTGTGCCGCTTCCTGTTAACCCCAGGAGACTGCCAAGCTGATGCTGACAGAGGAGGAGGAGAGGCTGTTGGAGAAGGAGGGGCTTGCTCTGTCCGGAACACTTCCTCTTACTAAGGTCAGACTTCACTGGTGGAGTAAAGGCTGGAGGGGGACTGTAGTCCCAAGTAGGCAAGTTCTTTCCACTTTATATCACTATCTTAGGGGAAAAAAAAAAACCAGGAATCTTAGCAATTCTGTTGCTAGGAAACTGGTACAGGTCCTGTGTTTGTGGGGTTTATATAAATTTTCGTGTTCTCTTTAGGAAAAAGATTCCAAACTTATCTGTGCAACACTGGTATAGGCCCTTAGAAAGCACTGCAGGTGAAGGGTCTTGACACTTAAGATTTCATTGTCTTCATGGTAACCTACTTCTTGCTCAGTGGTAAAAGTATTTGAGAGTTCAACAAGGTGAATCAAACAGTATATAGTAACATGAATAAATAGCATGAATAAAGATAAAAACCAGAGTTTTAAGTTTCCTGTAGTGAATGGCAACTTCACAGGTACAGCAATGTGATACTGTGATGAAATTACCAGCAAGTTCAGGGAAATTCTTAATTTCTTAAAAATACAAGATGAGTCACTTTGTGGTGGTGGTGCATGCCTGTAATTCCAGCATTTGGAGAGGGTGAGGCAGGAGGATCACAACCTGAAGACCGGCCCAGGCAAATTACTGACATGCTGTCTCAAAAAATGAAAAGGGTAGGGAATGTAGCTCAATGTGAAGGCCCAGGATGCAATCCCCAATACTATAAAAAACAAAGGAGGTGGGTGGCTTAGTTGCAGAGTGTTTCCCTAGCATGTGTGATGCCCTGGGCTCAATCCTTGCAGTACAGTTAAAAAAAAAAAAAAAAAAGTACAAGTTGAGCCAGCAGTCTGGTGTGACTAGCAAAGTAAATAGGATTTGGACACGCTCATCAGTAGAGGCGCTGCTCCTGTTAGAGGTGTTGCTCGCCGTTCCACTGGCCAGAGCACATCTTTGACGTATATAAAGAGGGTATAATCCATCCTGAGGATAGAAGCTAAATTAAAATTGCCTAGGTTTTTTTCTTTTTTAAATTGTGAAGGCTGACCAGGCATGGTGGCACATACCTGTAATCACAGCACTCCCAACAGAGCCAGGATTACCATGAGGTCAAAGCCAGTGTGGGCTACATAGTGAGTATAAGGCCAGGCTGAACTATATAGCAAAACCCTGTCTCAAAATAAAAAACAAAACCTCCTTGTGAATTCTGAAGGCCAAGAGCCAGGTGTGGTGGCACATGCCTGTAATCCCAGCACTCGAGAGGCTGAGGCAGGAGGATTGCTGCAAGTTTGAGACCAGCCTGGGCTACAAAGTGAGCTCAATTTCAGCCCAAACTGCATAGTGAAACCCTGTCTCAAGAAGACAAAAAAAAAAAAAAAAAATTCTGAAGGCCAGGCATGGTGGAGCACGCCTGTAATCCAGCATGGAAGATGCTGAGCCAGGAGGATTACTGTCAATTCAAGGCCAGCTTGGGCTACATAGGAGTTCAAGACTTGTCTGAACTACATAGTTAAACCCTGTCCCATGCCTCCAAAAAAAGGAAAGAATTCTGAGGAAATGTTAAAAGTACCTTAAGATAGCTAAACAAGGTTTGTTCTATTTAGCTGCAGAGATTCTAGGTAAGTTCAGTGGCTATGATGAGACTGATGTTGGCACATGATAAGCGAATTTTTTATTACTATTAATGAAATTGTTGAAAATGGTCTGGCTTGTCAGACAGAAACTGAGTGCCTACTGGTAAGGGTAGCTGTAAAATTATTCCTACATTGGGAATGTTGAACTTAGCTGCCTTCCAACTCCTTAACCCAACATTCCTGATACCCCTTTCCCTCAGATGGAGGAACAAGTTCTGAAACGGGTGCGGAGGAAGATTCGAAACAAGAGGTCTGCTCAAGAGAGCCGAAGGAAGAAGAAGGTGTATTTGGGGGGGCTAGAGAGCAGGTATGAAAGGGAGACAGAACAAAAACTAGTTGGAGGTATTGCATTTTTAAAATTTTTTCTTTACGTGTTACATTTTTGGAAGGATACAGCTCATATCCGTTATCCCCAGGGTTTTGAAATATACAGCCCAGAACCTGGAGCTACAGAACAAAGTACAGCTTCTGGAGGAAGAGAATCTGTAAGCAACCCACCAAATCACCCTTCTCCCCCCATTAATGCTTCCTCACTCTTTCCCCACCCTATACTTGATCTCTAATGGGGCAGGTGCTTGGACTTTACTGCGTATCGGTCTCAAAGCTCACAGTTAAAATTTGTAAGTTGTTAAGTACCCAGAAAGGGAAGCAAGATCTCACGGGCAGCATCTGAGAACAGGAGGACTGTGGGGATGGCGCTGGTGGGAAAAGCATTCTAGGTGAGGACACAGTCAAGTCTGGTTGGAACCTCACACACGCAAGCTGGGCCAGAAGGCAAAGGCAGTGCTTGAAGATTATGTGTACAGCTGATCGGGCAATGGAGGACGACTGAAGGTATTTGCAGTTTTAAGACAGGGCAGTTTGCTTTAATTAGGGACTTCAGGCATTTTGTCCACAGGGATTAAGTTACTTGCAAAAATGAGATGAGATGAGGGATACAGGGCATAGACGTAGGATATGGCCATAATAGGGTTTCAGTGAGGCTCAGGGTGCTGAGTCAGGGGGTGCTGACTAGTGTCCCCTCTTCCCCAGGTCCCTTCTAGATCAGCTGAGGAAGCTTCAGGCCATGGTAATTGAGATATCAAACAAAACCAGCAGCAGCAGCACCTGTGTCCTGGTGAGAATGGTGATGGGAGAACCAATCTTTTTCTGAAGTGGTGGGGCCCGCAGAGGTATAATCCAGAGCCATTCATCTTTTTTTTTTTTTTTTGTATTCTAGGTCCTGCTATTTTCTTTCTGTCTCCTCTTTGTACCTGCTATGTACTCCTCTGACACAAGGGGCAGCCTGCCAGCTGAGGATGTTGGTAAGAGGCTTAAGAACACCTAAGGTGTGGGCTGGGGGAGAGGCCTGGGCTGTTATCTCCTGACAATTCCTTGTCTCCTCAGTGTTGTCCCGCCAGCTTCGTGCCCTCCCCAGTGAGGACCCTTCCCAGCAAGAGCTGCCTGCTCTGCAGTCAGAGGTACCAAAGGAGAGCATAAGTCAGTTGCTGGACAGTTCAGACCATGTGCTTCAGGCTCCTGGCAACTGTTCCTGCCTGTTGTACCACATGCCTCAGCCTTCTCAGGCGGAGCCTCCCCAGCAGTGGCCACTTGACCTCTTCTCAGAGCCCCCCTGCCCAGGTTCCATGCTTTACCTGCAGGCAAATCTCACAAGAAAGGAGAAATGGCTCCCTAACCACAGCTCTTCGTCTGTCATCTTGCAAGGGAGATACTCGGGTTAAACATGAGCATAAAGGGTATGTCCGCTACAGCCTAAGTGCCCTTCCCCCACCGGTGTCCAAACAGAAAGGAGCGGGAGAGGGTTGGCTTTTATTCCACTGCCAGTAGGGTGCCTGAGGGCTCAAACACATACGTACTGGCTTTGTGGGTCTTTTATTTGTACCCGTGTGTCTACTGTCCCATGAATGGATCTGAGGAAATCAACTGACCTCCTACATTTCATACAGTGAGGGAAGGGGTAAGGAAAGAAATAAATAAGTGATTTTGATGCTTGCTTCCCCCTCATCCCTTCTTTACTGGCACAGCTGGGTGGGGAGAAGGGAGGGAGCATGATTGTCCTGGTGGCTCAGGCTGCAGGAGGCGGGGGTAAGGGGCGAAGACCAGGCTGGAGGCTGGGCTCCACGGCTTGGAGAGCTTACTCTAGGCTTGGGTTTGCCAAGGCTCCCTTTGGTCCACCCTTAGGCCCGGTGGTTAGTCTTGTGCCCTGTTCAGCTGCCACCCTGGAGGCTTTTCTATGTTGCTGCTGTTGCAGGGCCAGCTGCATGGCCCAGATGCTCAGGGGCCGCATGTAGGCCAGCGAGCGGAACACCCGCTGCTGGCAGTATGCTTCAGGGGTCTGGAAAGCCAGGCCAAGGCGCTCCCACACAGTACGATAGCAGCCTTCAGCTGTGCGGAAGCCCTCCCAAGTCAGGCCCTGTAGGGAAAGATGGAAGTCACACATATAACGTGGTACCACTTTAGCTGGGCAGGTGAAACAGCAGGTTCTCTGTCCTGAGGGAGCTCACAGCTGTCAGGGGAGATAAACTTGACCCAGTCAGAAACTTGAAGGCAGGAGGGGGAATGCATACCAGGGTAAAGGGGGAGGCTTTGTGGATAGGTAAGATGGCGCTGGGTTATGCCTTGAAGAAGTATGTGGCTGAGGAAGCTTTCTGGGCCATAGTGCAGATGGGGGAAAGATGGAGAAGACAGTACATTACCTCTTGGATCATGGTGGCTGCCAGCCCATAGACCACACCCACCCAGACTTCATCAGACTGCACACTGGATCTGTCAGGGATACCATGGGGCTGCATTCCATTCACAGCCCCCATGGCCCCTCCTGCAAAGGACTGGACATTGAGCTCGAAGATAGTCTGGAGAGCACGGACCACATTTGTGGTAGGAAATACCTGGAAAGGCAAGGGCAAAGGCAGGGACATGGTCTCCTATACGTGCTTCCCATCTCTGGAGAAAACCCACCTTTCTCTCCGGCTGCTTTTCCTACTCTCACCTCAGTGTCTCCTTCTCCTAGGCCACAGGCCCTCAAGAACCACTGTCCTGCACACTGGTCAGACATGACACTTCGAGACTGAGGCTGACAGCTGCTATCATAGTTGTAATAGCGGCCTACAGTACAGGAAGGGCAAAGTAAGGCTCTTGCTAGTTTTTCCACAGCCGCCTTAAGACCCCTCAGGTTCTCCCAACTCACCATTCCACAGCAGTCTCTCATAGGCTTCTTGGCCCCGGCTGAGGATGGAAGAAAACTTATCCTGGACATCCTGTGCCCCACACAGAACGGCCATCTGGACCATCACAGCCACAGCTGCCAGCCACAGCCCTCCACAGTAAGCACTGAGGAGGGACAGGGGGTTGGGGGTTGGACTGGCAGCTTTAGCCACTCCCAGGCAGTCTAACAGACAATGGGTCATTCTTTCTTAAGCCCTACCATCCTTTGGTACCCAGTTCCCCACCACAGGCCTCCTGGAAACCCCTGCCCCCCAACCTGGGGCCTGTGGTGACCCATCCATCGTAGGTCTGGTCTGCGTAGCCACCATTCTCAATAAGTCCGTCGTGGTCCTTGTCAAACTGCATTTCGGATTCCATCACAGCCTAGAGACAACACCGACACCAGATACGTGGGTGTAAGGAAAGCACAGCCAGCGGGCTCTCCCCAGACACCGGCCATGCCCGCAGCCCGCTGGCCACTGCTCCGCATCCCTTACTAGACACACAGGCCACATGTCCTTCAGGAAGCGTTGGTCGCCCGTCAAGTAATAATCTCGATAAACCTGCAGCACGAACTTCAGGTTCAGGTCCTTCCAGTCAGCAGTGTCATGGATCAAGTATGCATTGACCCGGAGCCATGGCTCGTCGTCTACGGGAGGGGAAGGGACCTGGGTCATCTGCATGGGTGGACAGGGCAGAGGGTGCCAAAGCTGAAGGAGGGAAGCTGACCAGGGGGGCGGAAGGGCTGTTACCTGGGTCCCCGATATCATGGGGAATGACATTCCTCCTTTTCACAGGTCCCATTGCCCCACTCATCAGGTACCGTCGCCGTGTCAGGTCCTCCCTGAGAGTTGCCAGAGCTGAGGACAGACACAAACGTGGGTCGGGGAGGCTGCAAATGGGCAGCCTGGGTGGAGCACAACTCTGCATGTGACTCCAGAGGGAAACCAGCAAGCAGGTACACTGCTGATACACGTTTGAGGGCAAGGAGAAGGCCCTCTTAGACCACAAAGGCTGGGGAGATGGGGAGCCAGGAGGGGAGAAGTGATACAAGCGTTTCCCTCACCCATGTCATACTGTAGGCTGAGCTCAATTTTGGGCCACAGCATAATGAGGGCGAAGGAAGCATAAAAGTGGACATCGTACGTGTTGTACATGCGATACTCTTGGCCTAGAGGAATGAAAAAGATACACTGTTGCCAGAATTCTTGCTTCCCCTTCAGAGTCCCCTCCCTTGCTTGTCCTTTATAGAGCTGAAGGTAGGGCACTATCCGCCTATTCAACACCCCTTCATCCCACCAATACCCTGGAGTAGGCAAAATCTATCATCTTGAGTTATGGTAGGGCATTAACTGATCTGAAGGGTGTGCCTTGCTACACTCTAACCCACCAGTAGCCCTTACCCTCAAGATAGCCAAATCGACCATATTCCAGAAGGATGGGGCGGAGCTGACCCATGCTGCCTAGCAGCTCCTCCGGTAGGGAGTCTTCAGGCACTTCAAGCCACACTGTGCCTCCATCCGCCAGGAAGTATAGTTCATTGAACAGTGCAGATTTGTACCAGGCAGGTAAGGACCTGGGAAGTTCGGAGGGAGTGGTTTCATAAATATGGACTTCTCAGGATAGAAAGGACTGTGGGGATCAGTGGTGGGGAAGTACCAAGTGAACCCCAGCACAGCTCTACTGACTTGGGTGGTACACAATTAAAGTCCCTTTGGAGTTTGAATGCCCAGGAGAAATCTAAGGAAGGGCTCCACTGGTACCTGTCATCTAACACTGGGCTCTGCCAGGCTGAGATCTTGTCTTCCCAGTCTGCATAATGGCACAATGCATAGTGGCTAAGGGCAGGAGCTGCATCACCATCCGGGCCAAAGAACCTTGTGTACCTCCTGGGGTGGAAAGAAAGGGAAAGGATAAGGACCCAGTGTCCAGGTCAGAGTCCCAGTGTTCTGGGTCTCTATTTCTTGATCACCGCACCTGTAGTGGACTTGACCCTTAGCTCCAAACACAATTCTGGGCATGTCCCAGGCCAGTGAAAACTCCAGGCAGCACCGGCCTCGAGGTGGCAGCTTGCCTGAGACACACACAGCCCCAGCGACGCCTGCTCCTTTCTGGGAGGGGTTGCTTCGGCCTGGGAAATATGAGAGAAATTAACACAGCCACACTCTTCAACTCCAGGACTAGGGATCCTCATCATGAGAACAAGGCCTATTCAGTACCAGGTCTCCCACCCTCAAGACAGCCTTTCTTCCCAACAGCTCCCAGTCAGAGCCCCCCATCACCAGTGGGGGAGTCCAGCTGTCCATCCTGAAGTAGGTCCTGCCACACCTGCTGCCCAGTGCCGTCAGGATCAAAGGCTGTGATGTGGGTTACCGTGGTACCTTCCTGTTAAGGGGCCAAAGGCTCTGTAAGGCAAGCTCCACAAGTACACTGAATTCCAACCAGCTCTCCAGCTCTTACACACCTTTGCCTCCAAGTTCCAGAGGCTAAAGGACTGTGATAAGCGTAGGACATGGGGGTGACGGAATGAAGAGAGTAACGTGGGGTGGAGGTGGAGGTGGATGTGGGGCCAGGCTGAGGGGGCGGGCTCAAGAACTAAGATACAGGGCAGACTCTTTCATTACCGTGAGTCGTGCAGCCACAGCCATGGTGTAGGGATTTGGAAGGGTTGGATGATGCAGCAGCAGCCCCTGAACAGTTTCCCCGTCCCGCTCCAGACAGAAGGGCTCATTCCACAAACCCCCTAGGGCATCGTCTTCACCTCCCAGGCCATTCCGCATGGAGAACATGATGGACACATCCACAGCTTCATCCCCTTCGTTCTCTACGTCCCACACAAAGACTCCTACAGGCAGGCTGCTGTCCTGGGGGCAGAGAGGACTTCAGTATAGCCTTTTGGCTGCCTCCCCAGGCTTAGTCCTAGGCACGGGGGCCCTGTCTCAAATACTCTCCAGGATGTTCTGTCTTCTACTTGCATCTCCCCATACTCCCCCACAAACTGCCTACCAGAGGACAGAGAAGACGACAATGAATCAGGCAGTGGTCCTGGGAAGCCAGCGTAATGTTCATCGCTCCAATCCCTCCCTTTCACAATTCCTTCAAATGCAGGAGGGCAATGCAGGAAATAAAGGGGAACCTCACCTGGTAGTCATGGGGCAAGATGGGTGTGATCTGGCGACAAGTGAGGGTGACGTTCTGGCCAGGAAGCTGATAGACAGTCCAGGCGCGGGGATAGAGGGCGTGGTAGAAAGCAAAGTACCCACACAGGCCCCAGTTCCAGCTGCGCAGGACACTTGGCCGCTCCACGGACAGAACTTGCTGGTACACAGTCTGCCCCTCCCGACGCAAGCACACTGTGAACTTGATCAAGAGAGCACACAGGCTGGAACAAACTAACCAGCAGGCAACACATGCTGGTTTCCTTCTCCTCAGAGCAGCTTTTCTTCTCCCAGAGCCTGTGACTGTCACCACTGCACCATTAGCCTCAGGTTGTCCCCCAGGCTTTCTTCCAGGCTTAGCAAGTAACCAAGCCCTGCTGCCTTTCCCTAATGCTGAGTACTTGCCTAGCATATATAAAGCCCTAGATTCAATCCCCAGCACAAAAAACAATCTCCAAAACAAAAACTCGGTAGCTCCCGGAAAGTAGGAACTATGAGGGATTAAGAGCTCTTCTCTTGATTCAAACTATGCCTGATATTTCTACTGTCTGTAAAATCATTTTTCTTGTTGGAATAGTGCATAATGGTTAAGGCCATAGGTTCTTTACTACAGAGAGAACTGGTT